TTTTTTTAGCGGTGCTAACGGTTCTATTCTTCATTATGGGCATGCCAATGCGCCGAATGATAAGCAAATCAAGGATGGTGACATGTGCCTTTTCGATATGGGACCTGAATATGCTTGCTATGGTTAGTTTGGTATGAAGAGCAAAACAGATTTCCAAGGAATATTCTCTAGCCTCTGATGTCACGACCTCGTTCCCCGCTAATGGAAAGTTCACGGATAAGCAAAAGATAGTTTATAATGCCGTACTTGATGCGAATCGTTCCGTATTCAAAGCAGCAAAACCAGGTTTGCTCATTATGACCATTAGCATCTACACTCCTTAGAGTTTCAGTAGTCTAGGCGTTCGCTGGACCGATATGCATATGCTTGCTGAAAAAGTCATTTTAACACATTTGAAGAATGCAGGGCTACTCACAGGTATGTAAAGCCAAGTCTTGTTCATGATATGACCAGATCATTTGTCTTCCTCATTCGATATTTTGATGCAATTTTTTCCGTAGGTGACGTAGACGCTATGCTTGCTGCTCGAATAGGAGCTGTGTTCATGCCTCATGGTCTTGGTCATTTCCTCGGTCTTGATGTGCATGACTGTGGAGGTTACCTAGGGGTAGAATATTTGTACAGTCCTAGAGGTTTCCGCTTGATATAGTGTGCTTATGCGGTCATTCGCGCCAACCGGTACATCCGGCTCACCCCATTCGCAATTCGTCAGTTCGTGATTTGACCAATTGCGAATGGTGAAGCGGATGTACTGGTCGCACTGAATAGTCTGGCACCTGTCATATTAAGCGGAAAATCTACTAAACTGCGAATAGCCCAGGTTTTCATTCGAATTTGCATGCTTTCAGGATGCCACACCACGTTCAAAACTTCCCGGATTGAGCTCTTTGCGGGTGACTCGAACTCTAAAGGAGAGAATGGTGCGTTGACTATTTTTGACGTAGATGATGAATAGGTTACAAGCATTTCAGCAAAATCGTTTAGGTCATAACGATTGAACCAGGTTGTTATTTCATTGATACCTTACTTGATGCCGCTTTCAATAATCCCGAACAAGCCAAATTCCTTGTAAAAGATGAAATTAACAAATACCGAGGACAAGGCGGGGTAAGTATCAGCTCGATTTTTTCATTTTTAAGGGGTTGCCATAACGATTATATTCAGGTGCGCATAGAAGACGACGTTGTGATATGGGAGAAAGGCAATGAAAACATGTCCATTGTTCCTCGAACTGTTGAAGAAATTGAACACTTCATGGCGTCTGAAGAGTTGAACGACTCTACTATAGCAAAGAGCGTATCTGATCATCTCAGCAAACACTAACTTGGAAATCACCGGACATTACTTATCAAATACTGCTAATATGTGTTGTAAGCGTGATTTTTGCAATAATTTGAAGTTTACTTTGGTTACTTGAGCCTCAAGAATGTCTGTGATACCTTCTTATTTCGTTACAACACGATAAAACTCGTCGGAGTGCTGGATAAAACTTTTGTTCGTAATCCACAAATCGCTATTGATTATATGAGGAAGATTTAGAGAAGCTGAATCACAAAATTAATAGCTAAGTATTTTTCATCAATGTCAACACTGGCGGAGGGTTGGGGAGAGAGGATACGACTACGTCGCTTTCCTTTGCAGTGATTCGCTATGGGAAGCATCAATACCGTCTATTCTGAGTTGCATATCCAAGTGCAGAAGTTAGATCAATGTGGTACTAGTGAAGTTTTCGAAACACAAAGTCGTACACTCTGAAATAGTTTTCAAACTTCGAAAAAAGCTCAGAACAATATGTTCGCAGAAAAAAACTCAAAGATGGACAGGCAGCTTCAGATCCATATTCTAGAAGTGAAGTCAAATAAGCTCCCTTCTCCAATGAAGATAGGCTGGGTTCATACTGATCCATTAGTTTAGGAACAGTTCCAGCACAGCGCATTCAAATTGAACAGCTGTGCTGTAACTGTACCCGGACTTACGGATCAGTATGAACCCACTACTGTACATGCGGGGCCTTGAAGATTGCCTTCTTGAGTAACAGTGCCCATTCATTTATGCACTTCTTATTTATTCAGTAAGTCCAATAAAGATCGAATATCTAGTGCAATCATTTGATGAAATTCAAAAAAATTTTGTATCCTTTATTGATACAACAAAATATCTTCTTACAGAGTGCGACGATATATAAAGAACCAATATATAGCAGATGGGATTAGGTCCTTCTGTACAGTCGTTAACAGTAGCGAAGTAGGAATGAGAACAAACAAAAGATGCGAGATACGATGAATACCGGTTGTGAAATCCGAACAAGGTCTCAATGACATCCACCAAGCTGCTCTTGATAGACCTGAAAAGAAGTATAATGAAGAGGATAGTAAATGGGTAGAGGGTTTACATTTACACCACTTCGCGCTAAAGTAGAAACTCAATCAACTGATAATCGATTCACTGATTATGCTTTGTCACTGAGCACTAACACCTAGTACATGGCAAGCACTTTGCTCTGGCAGGAATCTGTGATCTCCCACCATGGTAGGAAACACCTCGGTTTGACTGAACTTGTACCCATACAAATAA